CAGCAGAACTGCAACACAAGGATTGGTGTATTTCAGATTAAATAAGAATAAAAAAATTGTTTCAATGTTATCTCACATTGCAAAGTTCATATTGAGAGCTAAATATGCCCAACTTCTCTCCCAACATTTTGTCATTACAATAAAAAATCTTTTTAGTTAAACATGCTACAATCATTGATCTCCTAATTAAGTAGTCCATTTGAGGCCTTTGACCTCACAGCATGAACACTCAATCCTTTCGGAAAGTCTGCAGTATAAAAATAGAACAAAGATTTCAAGTCCTGAAACATACAGTAGTTGAGTAATAAGAAACCCACAGAATTCTCAGAGTCTTTTGTGTATAGACATCTTGTGTGAATTGCGGAATGGTTTACTAATAAAATAAAAGGGATAAACTTGGCCAGATAGAGAGGATCATTCCTCCTGGCAATCATTAATAATGGGTGTCACAATCTGTCACTAATCAATGCTGAAACTATTCTATTAGGAAATGAGAACCAAGGAGAAAATAAACCATGAAATAATTACACAAATCTTATGTCTAACCATAATGACCCAGGAGGTTGCAGGTACTGTCTACAAGACACAATTCTGTTAGGAAGAAACTATGAAATAAGGAAGGTAGAAAAGTCAACAATGCTGACAAATGAAATCAGGAGAACACCAAATGCAATATACATCTTTATTTGTGGCAGAGGACTGATACACATATATATGAGAAAGCTGTCCCACTGAACCCATGCTTAGACCTTCTCTCCCATAAATGTTAAAAAAGTCAAGCTATTAATTCAAAAAGTAGAAAGTGCTAGTTTTGAATCTGATTATAATCAAATGACTAAGCAGCAGGCAGGTGTTCTATGCATATATACATGTTTTAAGGCATATGTACATATTTTTAGACGTACATGGGGATGTTTTTTAGAAAGCTTTGATGCTACAGAATCACACAAGGGACCTTTTGAGATCTTTTTATACAATTCATATACCTCTTTTCACACACCCAGTTGCAACTGAATTTCTTTCTTCATCAATACCTAAACTGTTCTTTTCAATCCAGGCAAAGCAAACAGTACACTCCTATAATCAAGTGCACGGAAAAAGAATCAGCAATTTGCTGAGTTCAGCTGGAGTGACATTTATTAAGCTCTGAAAGTCTCATCTGAGTGTCAGTGAATGTCATATGCTGATTTTATAACATTTACTTCTTATATACTTCTAGGTTGAAATCACATTTATATATCTTCCCTTTCTATGACACAGAAAATTGAAATCTAATATCTGAAACACCTTGCTTTTTTTTTCCACAACTTGCCGATAAAATTCAGGACCTTTAACCACAGTTTGCATTTGGCCTTAGAAATGAGAAATGAAACCTTGAATATCTGTGCAGGGCAGGTACTGGAAATATATGCAAATGCATAAAGGTAGGAGACAGAACATACAGTTTCTTTCCTTATCAATACCAGGGATTTTTGTTTTCTTTTAAATTTGGAAGCCATTAAATCTTATCTGCATAACAGGGATAAAAGCTACTTGACGGGGTGCTCAATAACAGATTCCATTCTTCAGTCCCTGGTGATGCAAATAAGAGTTACACACCTTTCCTCCTCTGTCGCCTACAGCCTTCTTCATGAGTTACCACCTCTAGTTCACCCCCTTACCTCCCATCCCATCCCATCCCATCCCATCCCATCCCATCCCATCCCATCCCATCCCATCCCATCCCATCCCATCCCATTCCCGTCTGCTTCTCTCTTTTGCTCAGTGCTACATTGTACATACAGCCTTTCCTTGCTGCCAAACTTTTCATTTCAGTACCTGGTCTTGCTAAGTTCTTTCCAAGGACTCATCAGTTATTTGCCTTTCTGGACTCTGTTATTTCCTATGGCAGTAAAACAAACATAACACCAAAAGCAAAAGTTTTCCTCAACCCTTTTCAATCCCAAGATTAAGTATTTACTGAACAATGCATCTTTCACATCATAAAATTAAATGGTACATTCTAAAATTAAAATCTTCATGAACCACATGGAAACTGTGGATTTGGGGTTTTTTTGGTTGGTTGGTTGGTTGAGACAAACACACCATCTAAACTAAATGTCAACAAAATTACACAAAGCTTAAAATGGGTAGTTCAGAAGTTAAATCTGCTATTTGAGGCAATGTGGCTATCTGAACGTCCTTAACAATATTGGGTAGTATATGACAGATCAGAATTTTCCACAGGGAGAGAGATACACTCACCAAAAGTTTAGGAATTGACTTCTAGACCTTTTTAAGGTTGTTTTTTTTTTTTTTTTTTTTTTTTTTTTCTGATGAAGTCAGAAAGGTATGAGTGGGGAAATAATACAGTATTTTTTGCAGAAAAATCTGGAGCAAATAAATGGGTACAGTTTTCATACTTCTACATGCTGATCCTAAACACCAGCTTCTACATCAAAAAAATGCATATATTCCCTTACTGTTAGGAATGGTACTGTCTGCAAGTGCTGATTTTTGTGCATCAAAGCACGTCATTCAGATTCTGTACTCATGTTTGTCTTTTAAACCTAGAGTCAATGTCAAGCTACAACTTAATGTCAAGCATTAAAGATTTTCATTTTTTCCTATAACCAAAACCAAGGGATTGTTCCACATCCAATTGCATCCCCCACTTCTCTTCACTGAGAAGTGTAGACAGGGTTTTTTGATCCCTCCAGATTATTTCCAGACTATGTCAAAAATTAGACTGTGGAAGCAAGGCAATGTCTGCTTATAACTAACAGGACAAGAACATCATATTTCAGTGCTTTGAGATGAACCATAAAGTTCCTGTAACTGTGAGAACCGGAGTAGAATATTTCAGAAAAGCTGTATGAAGTCCAGAGGCGTGACAATTTTAGTTCCAGACAGTTTTGTTCCAATTAATGATAATTTATAACACTATTTTTAGGATTACTTTGGTCAAGGCAAGTCTTATGCTAGTATTTCTTAATTCTTGGTGCCACTTATGATATTCCAGCAAAGATGGAGTTGGAATATTCTATATTTGTAGCCTTTGACACAGGGAGCATCTTACATGGGACTAAAGTAGAAAATATATGCACAGGTCTAGGAACAGAAGTCAATTTTTTAAAATTTTAATTTTTCAGATGAACTTTCTGAGAACCCTGGCAGCTGCACAGGTATTGTCTGTTTATTTGTCTTACATATACAGGCATATTAGCATTAACTGTGCTGTAATTCACGCAAGGAAGATGTGTCATGTTACTGTGGAATTTCACATGATAATATACAAATAACTTTTGTGTTTGAATTACAAGTGCATGCCCACAGTCTTTGGTAATTCAGGGGGAAAGAAAGGTAGAAAGGATGAGTGATGACTCATGAAGCTACTGTTTTAATAATTGGAACAAAACTGATAGGAGTATTTTGTTAGGGGAGGAGGCATGAAGATGTGGTAGAGGAATAGAAGTATCTTCCCACAGAATTCACCCTTTTATCTTTGCTAAACAAAGCTGAATTAACCTAGTCTTACTCCCTTTAGAAGTTACCAGACAACTCAAGTCAAATAGGACGTTTTCTGGGGAAAAGGAAAAGACATTGAAGAAATATTTTATAAACAGCAGCAATGAATTGGTAAATAAGTTGAAACCTGAATGAGGCTTCCTTTTCATCGTTTACATTATATTTTAATTTGTTCATAGTTACTGCAGAATGAACATTTAATTCCACAGGATTTTTACAAACCCTATATTACATTTTTCCCTTCCTTTGTTTTGTCCATGTTTTAATTTTAATATTTCTGAAAAACTCTTACCTGATTTGAGTTAATCTCCATTTTGCCTTGTAGGTCCATGTTCACTATATAGAAGGATTTCTGGTAGTTCTCATCCTGTTGTTTTGGGTTTTTTGTCAACCAAAATACATGTTAATAATGCAATATCAAACACCTGTTTTCAGCAAATCTACAAATAGAACTAAATGGAAGAGCAGTTTTTGCTTTTTCTTTAACTATCCACAAGTAAATGGGATCTCTGTCTTCCTTTTAGTCTGACATTTCCTGATTTTGTACTGTGCTCTTTTTTGTGTATTAATCTTTCCTTATACCTCATGTGTGCATTTTTTTTGATTCTCTGGCTGAGTCTTTGTCTTTTTCAGTATTTTTGACATAAATTGTTAGTTTATAGAAGCAAATATAATGAGATACCATGCAGACAACAACAACAAAAGTTACTTAAACAGATAAGAAAACTCCAAACTCTTATTTGTGTTTCATTTAAATGTATTCCCTAGACGTTAAACAAGATAATTATAAATTCTATTTTTGAAGGCTCTTTCACAGCTTTCTATTTTCAAATTTCTTGCTTACTCTTATGAACCAGGGAATGCATGAAGTGAGCAGTAAAATCATATGTTCTGTGGATTTCTCTTAACATGGCTTCCCTAAGCTTCCCCCCTATTTCTAGGTAAAATAAAAGTATCCTTAACATTCTATAAACAGGATATTTATACATGCATGCTATACTAATTTTCTTTCTGAGGCAATGGCACTGATAACAGGGATATTCTCACACCTAAGTAATAACTGTTAGGATGAAAGGACGGCCATATGTGTTCCAAGCAATTCTGACTCTGTAGCCTATATGCACTATTTTCCTGTGCTTCAAGGACGGGAGGAATTAGCTTCCCTAGTCATTCACTGCAGTTTCATCCAGAAACACTACTGAATTGACAATGGTTATACAATTCTTGAGTTATTTCTTCTGTGGGGGATGCACACTGCATAATAGCCAGCAAGCGTAAAGGTATCCATGTATGGTAGAAAATACATTAATTCTCTGGAGTTCAAGTTGTGCAGGCATGGAAACTTTAAACACAAAAGGTGAGGAGAGCAGGATCTAGTCCTTAATGATTATAACTAGTGATTGCAACAGTACATTAGTGAAAAGGTCAAAAATCTATTTAGCATATAAAGGGATAAAACCCACTCAGTGTATAGCAATTATTTTCTCACTTAGACTTGTATATGCAGTTTGGTATCCCTTGCAAGCATGCCACTTTTCCACAGGTAATGGATTCCATTCTGCCTTCCTCACATCTCATAACAGGTCTTGTCAGTAGTCCAAGCAAAGAAAAAACCCAAGGCACATCTGACACTGCACACCTGGGATGCTGTTACTTGGGATTCATAAAATATTATACTGGAGCAGATCTTCTTACCCTTTAAAAAAGGCTATATACATCTGATTATAGCTTCTGCATCTTGTTCTGTAATGCGCCATAAAAGAAAATAAGCCGATTTCTTTAGTCTTTCCAACTTCATTTCTAGGAACGTGAGCTACAGTGATAGTGTCTCCTATCATTTTTATCATTTAGCATGACTGTACATGAAAAGTTTATGCCTCTTAAGGCAAGTCTATACCAATTATCAAATAGCTTTACATTGTGCTATACTAAAATATATTAAAAAGTTATTAATAAACACATAAAAATCAGAGAAAATTAGCAATGTAAGCGAACCATCCTGTGTTTCATATACATGAAAAATCTCATGTCGTCTATATAAGTAAATGTAGCATTTTACTAGACAAGCTGGAGAATTATACCTGGATACATGTTAAGCTAGTGTGACTAGTGTACATATTTCTCTGTGTGAAATTTAGAGTGTTAATTTAGTAGTTTTGTTTTTGTTTAAAGACTTCTTGTGTTACTTTGCAATTGCATTTCTTTTTCTTTTTCTTCTTGTTTTCGTTGGGTTTTATATTTTTGATGATTTTGAAGGTTCACATATTTAATCTGGTTTGGATTTTATGATATGTTATTTTAGTTGTTATTGTTTACAGTGAGAATTTCTTCTTTTAAAGTCATGAGAATTTTTTTTCACTCACAGGCTAGTGGTGGCAAAGTGTTGTGACCCATGTGTTTGTGCAAGGTGCTGTCACTATTCAATCTCCCTCCTCAGGTAATACAATTCAGTCTTATTCAAAGTCAGTCTGTGTGAGAAAAAGTTGTTTCATATTTAAAAATCTGAGAGTTTTTCCGTGAGAAAGCTAAATTTTGAGCAGAGACTAGAAGTTGCGGCTCTACTTTGAAAGATTATTTCTTTTTCAGAAAGGGAAAATGGAAATTTCTTTTAAAATTTGTTAATGCAAAGATACAAAACTTCCTTTCCCTTTTGGTACATGTGGTAGCTTCAGACAGAGACTTACAATAAGGAAAGGTGTCAGTTTTACTCTCAGTGTATCATGTTAGACATAGGCAGATTGAAAGAAAGAGAACAGATCAATTAGAATAAAAAGCAAAGAAAGGAGGTGGCTCTGGAAAGACTAAAAAGTTATTAGGAACCTAGGAACTCCAGGGAGAAAAGGTGTCCAAAGAAATGGATAACAGCTCACAACAGTGGAAAAAGAGGCCTGATTTGGTGAGGCTATAAGGAAAGGAAGCAGGGAAGAAGAGATTTCAGCAAGCTCTCTATACAAGTTTTGGTGCCAGACCGACTCTGGCTGGTGCCCCTTTCCTAACATAATTCCTTACAGAAACAAGAAAAATGCAGATGAAGCAGACTGAAATAAGATATATAAGTTCTTGCTTCTAATTCCACTAAAACAATGAAGGAGATTTAGGCAGAAGACATTGTATCCAGGCTTCTGCAATCTTGTGATTCCAAGCAAATTACTACATCTCTACTGTAGAAATGGATTTGAGACTAGTTGGGAATAAGGAAGAAACAATTGCAAAATCCAATTTAAAATATCCCTCTTTCATCCACTCTATGCTACAAACAACCTCTTAAGGTTTGTTTTGTTGGTGACATCTCCTAACTTGTGCTACCTAGCATCTAAGAGCCCTGTTAAGAACTGACTCAAAGAAGCAACACACAATAACTCCGACAATATTGCATTCATTGTAAAGGAATCAGCAAAGGGGAATGCAAGAATAATAAAAAGTCATTATAGGCTGTTAGTACCTGTTCCAGTTAGAGATTGGGCTTTCTCCATTGTCACTGACTTCAACCTCAACTTGTTGCTGGATTAAAAGGTGAAAATGCCAACAGCAGATGTAGTGTAGATTCACCTGGGCAGCAACACTGAATCTGTTGGGGAAGGGAAGGAAGAAATTATAAAACTCAATCTGTCACATCTAGGTTTTGATTAAATATCTCATTTACAAAACCAAGGTTTACATTCTCCAGATTTATAAAATCATACACTCATAAAAACACTAAGGCTGGAAATGATCAGGTCCAGCCACGAACCCAGCACATCCATGGTCACCACAACACCATATCCCCAAATGTCACAACCACATTCCTTTTGAACACTTCCAGGGAGGTGTGATTTCACCACTTATCCAGGCAACCTATTGCAATGCCTGACCACTGCATTCAGTGCAGAAATAATTTCCAATACTCAATCTACCTCTTTCCCAATGCAACTTGACAGCATTTTCCCTTGCTCTGTCTCCTTTCAAGTAGGTGTAGAGAATGACAAGGTCTCCCCTGAGACTTTTTTGCATGCTTAACAACCCGAATTTCCCTAACTGGTCCTCAACACACTTGTGCTCCAGACCCTTCACCAGCTCTGTTACCCTTCCTGGACATATTTCAGCACGTCAATATTCCCTTGCAATGAGGGGGGCAGAACTGAACACAGAAACTGAGCTGTAACCTTACCAATATTGACCACAGCATTTCTGATAGAGGCCAGGATACCACTGACCTTCTTGGCCACCTGGTAGCCAGCACAACTGAAGACATGGCGTGTGGCTTTTTTTTCCTTTTCATATTCTGAAAATATTTGATACCATCATGTGATGTGGTATTTTGAAAAAAAAAAAACAAAACTATAAACCCTGAAGATGCTCCATATCCTGAAGTCATGTAGAAGTATGATATACTCTCCAGAAATGAAATAGGGCCTAGAAAGCATATTTTAAAGTGCAAAATGTACAATCCTTCTTTTAATCTTAATCAAACCTTCAGATTTCAGTATTCATATTTATTTATTTATTTCGTTTCAGATTTATTTCAGATTTGAAATAAAATCTTACTTTTGCCTATTTTATGTTTTTTCTTGCAAGCCTTTAATTTCTATCCTTTCTACTTTATAGTGTCAAAGAGTTCCCCAGCACAATGTGGGGATCTGTGGTTCTGGTGTATGCCATACAAGTACCAAAAACTTTTGAAGTTATTTTGGTCCAAATCTGGTACATTTTTCTGTAGTCTAGTCTGACAAAATTTAAAAAATGTAATCAGTGCAGTCACATTCAAGAATCTGGAACTTCAGCAGCTATGGAGATTTGCTTCAATATTTCTCTTCTGTCATCTCACCTTTTTCTAGTCTGTCAAGTCTTCACCTCTGTCTTCGATTTTTCTTCATGTATCAGCTTTCTAGGTTAATGCTGTACTCTAGTTTACACATGATTTTCCTTAAACAAGGAAAGTTTAAGGAAACCCTCAGAAGCTGCAGTTATGTTGCACAGCTCCTGAGAGGCCTTAGTGTCCAGGGCCAGCAGCACAGCTCTGTGAACACGAACCAGGCTGCTGTTGGCAAGTGCATCTCTGTTTTTCCACATTTCTTTCCATGAAAAGCAGGTGCCATTCATCCCTTTAATCCATTTAATAAATAAACAGGCAATATTTAATTCTAGAGGCTGGGCCAGCATACCCTGTACTTTTATCATTAAAAGTTTGAGAGATGCTGTTTTCTGCTACAAGAGCTTGATGGTGTATCAGTCAATAATTTGTATAGCTTGAAGCAAAGGGCAGTGTTTGTAACATGTCTATGGTTTCAATGAATTTTGCATAAACTCAGCCAGAACTGAGCCAGAGCATGGACTGGAACACTTCTCAAATATTTTGCAAACCAATGTAATTGTCAGCTCTAAACAGAAAAGAAGCACCAAGAGTCCTGATGGGCTTTTTGCATCTTCTAACACATTTAAGGAAGTACAGAAAATTGATATAAGTGAGAAACACAGGTAGGAATCAGAAATGGCTGCAGAAGCTTTTTGATATATAGGACTGATATTTCTCCAGAAGCTTGTCTCCTTGAATTCATTTTATTTGCAAGCAAAAAGGGATGCACCCATGACATTCTTCCTGTGGGTTATCCACATAAATTTTTCTGCTGAAACTTTTAGTCCTTAAATATATATTGACAGTCTTTGCCACTAGTCTTCCCTTCTTTTGATGCAGTACTCAGGAACTGTTGGCTGCTCACCACAGCTCCACAGCCACCTCCTTAGTTCATCTCCTGGCTGAGTTGCAGCAAAGGCAGAGAGTCAAAGCTTACGAATCACTGATTGATTTCCACTCTCATCTCTATCACTTTTTCTTCACCCTTTTTTTTAATAAAATGCTCAACAAATTACTTTTGAAGTAATTTTTGGCTGTTTCTTTTTTAAAAACTGCAATTGCTCTTTGCGGCAAAAATTATAATTATTAGCTATGCACATAGTGCTTTTTACTGCTCCGCAGAGAAAGCAAGATTTATTCAAATTATAAGACACATGCAAGTGGTTCAGGTCAGTATGAAACCTCCAAATGCACAGTTAATTTCAGCTGGTCCTACTGAGCTCTCAGTACATCTTATCTCAAATGGAAGACATTTATCCCACTGTGCTCCTGGCAGGACACATGCATTCCTCAGATGCTTCATTCCTTGCTTCTTTAAAAGGCAACTGTCATCATAAATAGTATGATGACATTTGAGCAACTGCAGGTCTTCTGGGAGATGGGTTTTATTGACCAGGAAGGTTCAGTAAAGATAAAATTTCTTTTCACATTTAGTGCATGAAAGCATTTCACTTTTCACATATAGTGCATGAAAAAAGGAAAGTTTCCCCCCTGCAAATAAACCATGTGGACTGTCGCAGTGTTGTCAGAGTGAAATTGGTCGGACTCGGCATGTGGGAGCAGGGTAAAGCAACACTTCATGGTTTTGGTAACTTCATCATGGTTCTATTTTTGCATTATAATACAGTTACTTTAAAGTGACAAATTAGGAAAAAGCCAAACAAACAAACAAACGAAAAGCAACAACAACCACAACTCAACAAAACAAACAAACAATAATAAAAAAAAAATCCCACAAAAACCCCAATAAAAAACCCAAAACCAACCAAACAACCAACCATAACAAAAAACTCAAACAACTAAGAAACTCCCCCTGACTGGGAAAGCTCTTATTTTGAATTGTGGGAGGGCCCAGGCTTAATAGCAGTAGTTTCTTTGTACTGATGAATATATGAATTTTTATATTCCTGACTTTTCTATGTGTTTATCTAGTAGAAAAATCAGCACAAGTATTTACAGAGGCTAGAAATGAATAACTCTAATGTCTATTTCTAAAATATGTTTGCTTGGATTTAGTCCACATGAATGATTAGGAAATCAGCGCAGTCAGGTCAAAACTAAAGGACCCACTGTTTCCACCACAAGCATCATTAACTGAATGATGAGTATTTGGGAACTTTTTAGATGGGACAAACTGGAAGCAAATCCTTGAAAAAATCAGTCAGAAAATTAAATTCACCTAAGTTTCTGCAAGAGGTAATGGGAGTCAGAACTGAAAAATTAGGAAGCTCAAACTGTCAGATAAAGCCTTCAAGACTAATTATCAGGCAGAATATGAAGGTGTAGAGAATCTCATATATAATGCCTGTAGGCAAACATGAATATTGTCAGCAACTTTTCATTTATGGATACAGTTAAGAAGCATACATTATGGCAATGTGTTTTACTTTTGAGTGTTTTCTGTGACATTTCAGATAAACATAGCTTTGAATTAGGAGAGGTTGCTAATTGTGTATTGTCTTCCTTGAATTGATACAATTTATGCTTTATACATTATAAGGCAGAAAGCAGACAATTTCATATCATTTTTTTCTTATAAAAATAATATCGTTCATTTTCCCCTTATATTTTCCCTTACAATTTCTGCATTGTGACTCTTAGAATTTCTCTGTTATCCCACTTTTTCACGCTAAAACATGGTCATCACGCATCCATCTTTCTATCTCCTCTTCTTTTACCTGTCTTGAAGCTCTAGCCTCCAGTACCTCTTATCCTTCTTCACATATCCTGCACTCCCACCAACTGAGCTGCTATTGAAGGCAGTGTTCATTTCTCTCCTATTTGGATTTTCCTTGAGGGAGAAGAAAAGTGTGTGAGGAAATACATTTATTTCTCCTTTCTCTTGTCCCCTGGGAAGAATCACTATAAATCCTTTCTTTGCTTCCATATTGAAATAAAAGTTAACAATTTTAACATCCCTGCAGCACAGAGAGGGGATTGTTCCAGACTACACAGTGACCCCTTCCACTTTTTGCCTGTCATGCTCTTGCTCTCAATTTTCAGTGATCCACTCCCTGAAATTGGACCTAATGCAGCAAATGATAAAATACAACGGGAAAAATACAAAAATCTTTGGATCCTTTCCATATCTCTTCTTAGACCAATTTCAGGGCAAAAATTTTCAGTCAGCAAATAGGACACCTTAAATGCCCTACTGCAGGTATAATCCCTTGAATAAAATCAAACATAACTTTGTGGAATGCAGAATCTTCCAAAGACCTCTTATAGGAGATGAGCAACCTTTACTCTGACAGGACCCAGAGACATTGGAAAGTAACTAATGCCTATATTATTATGCTCAAGCAAATGAGCATATGCCAATTAGAAGGCAGTCCTGCTGAATAACAAAAATGGTCCATAAATATAGAGCATAACCTTGAGTAGGAACACAAGAAGAGCTTTTGTTAGAGAATTTAATAATAAGGCAGATGGTCCTTTGGCTTACAGAGGTCATTTGACGCATAATAGCATTGTCTAAACTGGATTTCACTGCAAATATGGGGGAAACTGACATATTTGTAGAAGAGCAGAAAGGAAAGTTTTTCTTCCTTCTGTGAAATTCCACCTTGTTAAATTCTGAGGATTCCTTTTTTTGTACTTTGCAGCACAGAGTGTTATTAGAATATCAATTCTGATTTCTCTGTTAAATCATATTCACCAGGTATCCCTGTAACATCAGCTGGAATTCAAACTATCTTCACATTAGCCTTTTAGGAATAAATTGTTGAAACAGAAAGACAAGAGAATTTACAAATTAATGTTAATTAAGGTTATGTTCTTTCTTGTGCTAGACATTTAGAGAATTTTCTGTAAGAAGCACAGCCGCTCTCTCTGCTGTACTCTGCTGCTTCCATGAGAGGGCTAGAACTTCACTACCTTTCACTTCATTGCCACCGTGATAACATCTTGTGTTCAACACAGATTTAGAAATCCACGTTCTGTATTTAAGACAGTTTGGCTGTCATTTCTGTCTTCCTCTAGTCTTGGTGAAACACATACTTAAAATAAACAAGTCTTTTCCATAACCAGGCAATACGTATTGCACTATATCTCAAGCATCTGCTGAATAATCTTTTCAGATTTCATCTTTTCTTCTTATAATAGTATTTAATTTGGCAACAAAAAAATTAGATCCCTCTTACTTGAATTTTTATTCCTCAGCCTCTTTATGATTTTCACCCATTTATCTGAGTTGCACTTATTTCTTACCCTTGCCAACACAAATATCCTGATAATTTTCCAATTGTTTTTACTCTTCAAGTAAGGTCAGATAAGAATTACCCATAAGCCAAACTTTCTGACATTCCCCACATCTGATTATTTTACTCTCACTTGTGCTTCTGAGGGCACAACAAGTTTCAGAAATTGTACCATGCTTTCACTAGAATAGAGGAGCAGCCTAAAAGGGCAGCTATCTGAAATTATAATCAAAGCTACAAAACCGAAAGTAAATTTCAGGTTTAGGTTACCTATTCAAATATATTTTAAAAATATTGTTTCAGCAGTCAGTGTAAGACTTTTAGGAGTAACATTTTAAGTTCATTAACATTTAATTTCTGCTAATAAGTTACTTTAGAGAATTCAGTTTCAAAAGGTTTGTCCCTTGGAAAAATTATAATTTTTCAATTAAAAATATTGAGGATGACCAATTTTTCACAACAGAAAAATTGGACAGTAGAAAAAATTGTCCAGGAGAAAGATACATTGAAATTAACAGAATGATAAAAAAAAATCATAATCATATACAACAAAAAAAGCCAGTCTTCTTCCCTCATAACCTGTCTTCAAAGTTGATCAGTATTTGTTACTTCAGAGGGAAGCAGATTTCATATAACAAGTATATTTTTAATTTGAAAATTTTACTGTAATGCCCAAAAACAAATGCTTTATTATGTTACAAAGATCAAAGACAGCTCTAAAGCCACCCTTCTTTCCTTAAGTCAAGAATTTTTAACAGAGGAGGACATGAAGTCCCTTTATTTGAGTACAAGGCCCATTTTTTTTTTATTTTAGCTATTAGAACTCAATTTCTAACAAGCATCTCTTGAAAGATTATCTTGATTTTCCTTTCTTCCCCTTAAACTTTATTTTCTGTAACTGTTGACATAACATAATTTTAGGACAACATATCACACTTGAATGTGTTTGAACTGTGGGCAGAACCACCACCTGCCATTTCCCATTATCTCTCACTCCATTGTCTATTTTCCCCATATTTTGCTGTACTTTTCACTGAAAACCTCTGTAAATACAAAAATTTATTATGGCCTCTCTGAGGTCAAAAGCCTATAAAGCTAAACATTTGGTAAAAAAGAAACTAATCATATTGCTTGGATTTACCACCTCTTGTGTTCTAGTATTAAAAACATGCAAGCCAACAACAACAACAAAAAAAAAAAAATAGTATAAAAGCAAAGTCCACATTTTGAACACTGTGATGCAGTAGCTTTTACATTCATTCAAAATACTGTTGAACCAAAGGCTTAGGAAAGTTAAAAGTAAATAATTATACATCTGCACCTACTATGAAAACAACAAAATACTGAAAAAAACCCCTCTAAAAGTGCAGAAAGCACAAGCCCCATGTTTCAAAGGATGTGGCTGGAAAGGGTGTTTCTCAAAGGAGTTTCTGGTATTTCTGGCACTGTTAAGGAGATAATACCAGTGCAGGTAAATCAGTGGTCTAATTCACTACAGCAATTTTTACATCTATAGCAGATTTTTTCATGTCTAAGGCAAGAGGTAATAAAAAGACAGTACATAAAACACAAAAAAGTACAGAAAAATTATCAGGCGTATCAGGAAAACATCACAACAGAACGCAAAGAACCCTGTGCTCATAGCATAAATCAAGGAGAGCTGAAGTAAGCAGAGGGTGGGTGAGCAGAGAGAAGAAAATCAGATAGCTCGTTATTAAGTCAAAAGATTAATAAAAGCAGACTGTATTTTATCAAAGCTTCTCAGTTTATCAATCAATTTAAATGAGACTCTTTCCATTAAAATGAGAACAGTCAGCCTAAAATTATGACCACAGATTGATGGATTGAAAGTGGATTAATTTTAGGGTGGTAAGAAAAGCATAAAATGACTACTCCTCTTTATGTTATTAATCTCTTGAAAAGCTGACAGATCTACCACAGTAAAATTTAAAAAAGCAAAGAGATTTGGGACAAGATTTCTTTTCTGAAGGGTCAAAATATGTACGCTTCTAGAAAATACAGTTTAATGTTTTTTTCTTCCAGATTAACTCTCTCACCAGTATGTATCACAAATTTCTGTGAACCACAATACCACAGGGTTGTACACTTTATTCCATAGTAGTCAGTGATGTACACACTAGTCATGCTCTGACAAATAAGCAGATCTAAGATAAACCCCCATTATTTCTGTTTCCTGATATTGATTTGCCTTAGGGAAAACAAAAAATTAATACTAATTAAAAGAAAAATTAGTAATATTAACTATTATTAAATAACCTGTATTTCTGACAAGATTGACTGATAGCTAATGCTATATCAGTGTTATGGAGACTGGAGATGCACTGAAACTCTGAAAATGAACATGACCTTACATAGAATTTCACACATCTACATACATGCATATACACATGTTTTGGACTGTCTGCATGGTGTCAAAATGTGAAACTGGGCATCAGACTTGGCATTCCAAGTTGGGACTTTGGGCTTCAATAAAAATGCTGGCTGCTTATTGACCATGTAAGGGTCTTTTGACAGAAAGACGAAAATGCTTCAAGTGGCAGATTATGCTCAGAAGTCAGCTGCTCGTGTGTTTTAGTAGACAGCAGAAAATCTTCGGAAAAATCACGGGTAAAAAACAGAGAGTGTGCTGATATTTTCAGGCAGTTTTCAGTTTTAACTGTTCTCATTTACAGGGCAATTATGGCTGTTCACAGGGCACCAGAAAAATGACTGCACCTATACACTTTGCAAAAAAGACATCATACTGTGACCAATCAAATCATCTGATCTGCCAAAGAATATTTCCTTTACATAAGTGCTGCTATGTATTCATGATATACAAAGTCTTTTCCACTTTAGATTAATATTCAAATTCAGCCTTATTAGAACTTTTTGAATATATACAAATAGGTAGCTTAAAAATATAACCTGTAATTTGTTTATAAATTTATTAAAGCATGATTTCTCTGTTTATTACTTTTTCAAATGCAATAGGAGAAATCAAAACCAAATACAACAGATGAAGCATAATAGATTAATTGTGTGATATTATGGTTAAATATGTTTTTCAAAGAATTTAATTTTAATTATAAGAAATGTGTCAAAAGATTTAACTTTTAAAAATAATTTTTTCACCAAATGAAAACAAAAAACCTAGCTGTATTTAGACTGTTTTTATTTTCACTTTCAGAAAATATTCTGGGTAATTTGGTTTCTGAGATTGAATAATATAAAATAATCACATATATTTTACAGGTTAGAGATAGAAATACTCCTTGTACATCTTGTTTTTTTTTCAGGTACACGTTTAAAATTGAAGTGTTTATTCAAGTCACTCACAAATAACCTTCAGGATGAACTCCTTTTGTCAGGAAAGTCCCTGTGGCTTGGCAAATCTGAGCAAGGTCAAGAACTTGGTGCTTGTATATCTCTAAGGATCTGACAAAATTAGGGTCTGATTAGGAAAATGAATGCCTTTAGAAACTAGACTAATGTGTGACTCTTAACATCTCTAACTGTACTGTCAGGTCTCTCAATTTTATTCTGAGGACAATAAAATTCCCCTCAAGTTCTGACTGCAGAAGTACTTGTA